ACGTCCGTCCTCTTCCTCCACGGTCACATCCGTCCTCTTCCTCCACGGTCACATCCGTCCTCTTCCTCCACGGTCACGTCCATCCTCTTCCTCCACCATCAGGTCCGTCCTCGGGGGTTGGGTTGACTATAAGTTCAGCCCCAACCCAAGTTCTTCACAGTTTGCTGAACGGACAAACCAAATGACCAGAACCAAGCCTCCGGCTGCTGCCTCTGGACGCCATTCCGGCAGATGCCGGTGGGTATCTGTCATTGTGCTGTGGTTGCACTACTGACCGCCGGCCCTTCTGTTCGTAAACAAGCAGGGAATCCTGGGTGAGGTCATTGATCAGAGATGGTCCTGAGCACATGTAGTCAATGGTGTCACCGAGGATCCCTGACCGGTCTAGTGACACCCAGCATCCAATTAGGGAGCCGCCAGTTGTATCAGGAGTGCGATGGGAGAAGAACAGTACCACGAGGGTTATGTCGGTAGGTGGTTGGGGCTTCGAACATGGTGACTGACATTGGAACTCCATCGCTGGACAATGTCAATGGTGTCACCAAGGATCCCTGACCGGTTTATTGACACCCAGCATCTAATTGGGGAGCCGCCATTTGTATCAGGAGTGCGATGGGAGAAGATCATTATGACGAGGGTCGTGTTGGTAGGTGGTTGGGTCTTCGAACATGGCGACTGACATTGGAGCTCCATCGCTGGACAATGTGAATGGTGTTGGCTTTACATTTGTGGTAATTTTTTTAATCTTTTCTTTTAATGAAGGACTTTTTCCGCGGTCGGCGTGTTATTATTCACTAATTTTTTGGGGAAGGAGAACCTTCTTCATTCGCTTGGATAGGGGCAGATATCTGGGGGCTCCCTCCTTCTAAAGGGGGCTTCCAGATTCTGATAAGTTCCACCTGAAGACCCTCAGAGATATAGAGATGAGGCCCTTGTCCTCACCAACAAGGGAACAGGATGCCTTGTCCGGGGGGTTATCCCTTCCTCTGACAGGATATCCTCTCCATGTTGAGGACATGTGGGCCTGGTATAGTTCAGCACATGTTCACTGTTGCTACCCTTTTCTAGCCAGGCAGCATGCCTTAGTAAAGAGGCTGGTGGGCACAGAGACAATGATCGCTCAAGTACTCTGGAGCTGGATAGGGGCTGGAGTAGACTGGAACCACTGGAGGAGCAGATGACATGGGGAATGCTGGGGGCACTGGGCTACAGGAGGAAAGTTGCTAGTGAACACAATGGATGGGGCTGAGAGGGCTTCAAGAAAGGTTTCTGAAAACTTGATGGATGCTTCATACATGGCGACTGACATCCACTGGGTTCAGATCTTTTGGGAGATGGTGGCAACCTATTGGCTTCCCATGGAGACGCGCCTCCCTAATACTCAGCAGTTTGAGCTGGTGTATGTATGGAAGGGGTCACCTACTTGCCAACTGTCAATGGGGGAACTGTTCATCATGCCTGGTGTTTTAGGTTGGAGGCATTGGGGGGTTTTGTAAAAAAATGATTCCGTATATTGATATCCATGTGAATTTTAATGGCGTATTGCAATTCACGTCAAAGAAAGACGCACGGGTGTGAATCCAGAGCTAGTTCCATCTCAGGAGTGCCAGTCTATAAGGACTCATCGTGGGGTAGTACAGCCGATGCATTGTGGTGCCATTCAGGTTTAGGGGAATGCACACGGGGGAAGAAGACCGCTACAACTCATGGTGATTGCACATCATGGCGTGCCGCAGTACCGGAAATGCTGCAAAGTCCAGTTTTCACACCGTTGTGGGGCGTTGGCAGCAAATGTAAATACATCGACTTTTATAAACACTGTCCATGGTGTTCTGTTCATCGACTTCACTGCAGCGATGGGACCTGGAGGTACTTCTTACCGCCAACATTTCTCAGGGTTGCAGGTCTTCTGAGCTCCACAAGGTGGGGATCTCACTTCTACCCAGACAGGAAGTCTCTATGGAAGACAGGAAGTGATGTCGGGGACAGACAGGAAGTGATGTCAGGTATAAATAGGAAGTTCGGGTAAGGTGAGGTGGGAGGAAGTAGAGAGAAGACATTGCTGGAAGTGGCAGAAGAGGAGGTAATAAGATCTGATTTTATATTTACACCCAGTAACCCCATGTCATGTCTGTCCTCCACCGTCGCGTTCGTCCTCTTCCTCCATCGTCGCGTTCGTCCTCGTCCACCGTCGTCGCATTCGTCCTCGTCCTCCGTCGTCACATCCGTCCACGTCGTCCGTCGCCGCGTCCGTCCTCTTCCTCCGTCGTCGCGTCCGTCCTCTTCCTCCGTCGTCGCGTCCGTCCTCTTCCTCCGTCGTCGCGCCTGTCCTCTTCCTCCACCGTCACGCCCGTCCTCTTCCTCCACCGTCCCGTCCGTCCTCTTCCTCCTCCGTCCTCTTCCTCCATCGTCACGTCCGTCCTCTTCCTCCATCGTCACGTCCGTCCTCTTCCTCCATAGTCATTGTGATGTCTTTTATCTCCAGCAAATGATGATACACACATATATAGTGTGGGAACTAAGATTAACCCCTTCAGGGGAAGAACATTCCCCCACTTCCGGGGCCAGAACATTCTCAGACAAGACAAGGACCATCCTGACCATACATGGCTTACAGAGGGCGATGATTACACTACACAGGCAGCCCCTTACATTGCTGGTCAGGAGTATGGAGCATAGAGCCCCTTACATTGCTAGTCAGGAGTATGGAGCATAGAGACCCTTACATTGCTGGTCAGGAGGAAGAAAACATCCCCCAGCCTGCCATGAAGAATATGTTCCATCATTGGTGTCAGAGGGAGGAAATTCTGAGGGAAGTAGAGGAGCTGAGATGTCTGAAGGAAGTAGAGGAGCTGAGGGGTCTAAGGGAAGTAGAGGAGCTGAGGGTCTCTGAGGGAAGTAGAGGAGCTGAGGGGTCTGAAGGAAGTAGAGGAGCTGAGGGGCTCTGAGGGAAGTAGAGGAGCTGAGGGGCTCTGAGGGAAGTAGAGGAGCTGAGGGGCTCTGAGGGAAGTAGAGGAGCTGAGGGGTCTGAGGGAAGTAGAGGAGCTGAGGGGTCTGAGGGAAGTAGAGGAGCTGAGGGAGGTAGGGGAGCTGAGGGGTCTGAGGGAAGTAGAGGAGCTGAGGGGTCTGAGGGAGGTAGAGGAGCTGAGGGGTCTGAGGGAGGTAGAGGAGCTGAGGGGTCTGAGGGAAGTAGAGGAGCTGAGGGGTCTGAGGGAGGTAGAGGAGCTGAGGGGTCTGAGGGAGGTAGAGGAGCTGAGGGGTCTGAGGGAGGTAGAGGAGCTGAGGGGTCTGTGGGAGGTAGAGGAGCTGAGGGGTCTGTGGGAGGTAGAGGAGCTGAGGGGTCTGAGGGAGGTAGAGGAGCTGAGGGGTCTGAGGGAGGTAGAGGAGCTGAGGGGTCTGAGGGAGGTAGAGGAGCTGAGGGGTCTGAGGGAGGTAGAGGAGCTGAGGGGCCTGAGGGAGGTAGAGGAGCTGAGGGGCCTGAGGGAGGTAGAGGAGCTGAGGGGCCTGAGGGAGGTAGAGGAGCTGAGGGGCCTGAGGGAAGTAGAGGAGCTGAGGGAAGTAGAGGAGCTGAGGGGTCTGAGGGAAGCAGAGGAGCTGAGGGGCTTTAGTGCTCCTGAGGGGGTAATGGAGTTGAAGGGTCCTTCATAGGGTTGGTAGGCAGCATGATTCTGAATGAAGAGGAGGCTGTAGGGATCACGGGGACTCTATGGGGGGGGGGGGCTTCTTGGCCTATGCTGTTCCTCCCACCTGCACTTTCTTTTCAGAACTCCTGCCAGGAAATGAAGGCAACCTTCACCTTCTTACCATCTCACTGGTCAAATAAAATGTTCCTACCAAGTGGTTCTTCACCCCTTGGTGGGCTCTTATCGGGGGTCTTTTTGCACAGCATCACCAAACTGGTGGTCAGAGGTCAGTGTTGTGTATCCCAAGGTCTGGTCCAATACCTTCCCATGACACAGGCTCTGGAAGTACTCTGTGCCAGACTTCAGTGCGCCAGGATCCCACCACCACTCTGTACAATGTCCTTGATACCACAGTATACTTGGCCACCAAGAAAATAAACCCCTCCCCCGCTGCCCTCTTCATACCCTTACTGGGCTGCCATTGGAGGGAAGAGAACAGACTCCTCCCCCACAGCTCTCTACTCCACCAGCACCATCCTCCTGTTATCCAATCCAATGCCTTCTCTTCCTGCAGAGAGTGACAGTGACATCACTCCTGTCAGTCAGCAGGCTGCCAGAGATTGGAGCCTTGCAGCCGGAGTTCTACCAATTATCCTGATTAGCGGACAACTCCAGCCAAAATTCAGCAACTTCTCCTTCCTGGACATCATGATGACCCAACATTGACCTCACAGCACTGCCTCCAAGCAAACAAGGCATAGGAAGGATCGTATTTATCTTTCCTCGTCTGCAGATCTAATACTCATCAAAACCAGTTCAGGGACCAAACAGAGAAAGGGGATTTCTCACCCGGCAGGACAAGAGGGTCCTGGGACCTCCAAGATGTAACCAACACTAAACACTCCAAACTAAATGTGTCCCCATGGGGGCCATATCTCCTATATGTCCAGCAACCCTCCTATTACCCCTCCCCCCCCCCCCCACACCACCACCCACCTATCATTGTGTGACCGATACCATCCAAATCATTCTTACTGTCATTTCCCAAAGTGATCCATCTACAAGAAGACCTGTATAGACCAATGAGGATGGAGGAGGACCGGAGTCACATGACTGAGAGGATACTAAACCTCACCCTGGAGATCATCTACCTGCTGACCGAGAGAGGTGAGGAGGATTCTGGGAGGTCACATGACATTACTCTTATCTCTATTAATAAAACACAGACCTGACCGTAGAGGTGAGGAGGATTCTGGGAGCTCACATGACATCACTCTCATCTTTATTAATAAAACACAGACCTGACCGGAGAGGTGAGAAGGATTCTGGGAGGTCACATGACATCACACAGACCTGACCGGAGAGGTGAGGAGGATTCTGGGAGGTCACATGACATAACACAGACCTGACCGGAGAGGTGAGGGGGATTCTGGGAGGTCACATGACATCACACAGACCGGACCGGAGAGGTGACGAGGATTCTGGGAGGTCACATGACATAACACAGACCTGACCGGAAAGGTGAGGGGGATTCTGCGAGGTCACATGACATCACACAGACCTGACCGGAGAGGTGAGGGGGATTCTGGGAGGTCACATGACATCACACAGACCTGACCGGAGAGGTGAGGGGGATTCTGGGAGGTCACATGACATCACACAGACCTGACCGGAGAGGTGAGGAGGATTCTGGGAGGTCACATGACATCACTCTCATCTCTATTAATAAAAGAGACCTGACCGAAGAGGTGAGGAGGATTCTAGGAGGTCACATGACATCACACAGATTTGACCGGAGAGGTGAGGGGGATTCTGGGAGGTCGCATGACATCACACAGACCTGACCAGAGAGGTGAGGATTCTGGGAGCTCACATGACATCACACAGACCTGACCGGAAAGGTGAGGAGGATTCTGGGAGGTCACATGACATCACTATTGTCTCTATAAATAAAACACAGACCTGAGCGGAGAGGTGAGGAGGATTCTGGGAGGTCACATGACATCACACAGACCTGACCGGAGAGGTGAGGAGGATTCTGGGAGGTCACATGACATCACACAGACCTGACCGAAGAGGTGAGGGGGATTCCGGAGGTCACATGACATCACACAGACCTGACCGGAAAGGTGAGGAGGATTCTGGGAGGTCAAATGACATCACACAGACCTGACCGGAGAGGTGAGGGGGATTCTGCAGGTCACATGACATCACACAGACCTGACCGGAAAGGTGAGGAGGATTCTGGGAGGTCAAATGACATCACACAGACCTGACAGGAGAGGTAAGCAGGATTCTGGGAGGTCACATGACATCACACAGACCTGACCGGAGAGGTGAGGAGGATTCTGGGAGGTCACATGACATCATTCTGGTCTAGTCTGGCCAATAGACCATGTTCTTCTTGTAGACATATAGATTATGTCAGATGATTGATATCGGTTTCTCTTTCTCCTGATCTGTAGAATTATGTTGTAGTGAAGAAGTCTAGTGGGGAGCCAATCTCAGGAGGATGGAGCAGGACCCAGAGCCCCACCATGGTGCCTCCCCCTCGTTCTCCGATACCTGAGAGGAACAAAGAGCAGAAGATCCTGGAACTGACCACCATGATGGTCCATCTGCTGACAGGAGAGGTGAGCGGTGCCGGGAGTTCTGGGACATTCTCCAGTAACAGACAAGGGATGTGTCTGGATGGTGATTGTATCATTGTGTGTGTCAGGTTCCTATAAGGTGTCAGGGTGTCACTGTCTATTTCTCCATGGAGGAGTGGGAGTATTTAGAAGGACACAAGGACCTCTACAAGGACGTCATGATGGACAATCAGCCGCCCCTCACATCACCGGGTAAGAGGAGACTTTATTGGAAAGGAGAGAGCAGTACGGAGGATCCACCTAGATCCCCCATCATGTGATAAACACATAGAAACAATGGATTCAGTCAGTGTGAATGTTTCCTACAGATGGATCCAGTCATGGGAACGCACCAGAGAGATGTCCCCGTCCTCTGTATTCCCGGGATTCCACACAGGAAGGTCACACCATCCCTCACCGTCATCAGGTAGATGGATCAAGTCATGGGAACCCATCAGAGAGATGTCCCCGTCTTCTGTATTCCTGGGATTCCACACAGGAAGGTCACACCATCCCTCACCATAATCAGGTAGATGAGGAACAATCACTGAGAGTGTCATTAGGATCTGTACATTATCTGCATTGTTACCATTGATGTCATTTTATTATATATTCAGAGGGGAAACCTGAGGGATCCTAAAGTTGAGGTCAAAGAAGAGTATAAAGAGGAGGATGAGGAGTATGGAGTGATGGAGGAGTTCTCAGAAGGACACAAGGATATGATGGAGCCACCTAATACCAGGAACCCCCCAGAGAATGGAAACCTCAGAGATTGTAAAGTTGAGGTGAAATCAGAAGAAGAAGAGGCATATGTGAGGGATGATCAGCAGTCTATGGAGGAGGATGGAATAACGGGGACATTTATAGAGGAGGACACTCCTACAGAGATCAGCACAGGTGAGTCATGAACACTAAATCCATTCCTCCCCCCATACTGCTCACTGATTGGTCCAGATGATAAAGTTCTCATTGGATCTCTCTCTGTCTTTCTGGTTTGGGGGAACCAATCAGCTCCTGTCTAGTAATCCTCCTTGTCTTTGTATTTTAGTCCATGGCCGGGAGATGAGGAAAACCTCCGAGGATTGTCTCACTTTGTCTCCAGACTGGAAAGTAGAAGATAAGGACATCACACAGTATAGTTCAGGAGAACAGCCGGAAACCGGCCAATCCTGTCCGAGAGACAAGCCGGAAACCGGCCAATCCTGTCCAAGAGACAAGCTGGCGACTGGCCTATCCTGTCCGAGAGACAAGCCGGCGACTGGCCATTCTTGTCCGAGAGACAAGCCGGGGACTGGCCAATCTTGTCCGAGAGACAAGCCGGCGACTGGCCAATCTTGTCCGAGAGACAAGCCGGCGACTGGCCAATCTTGTCCGAGAGACAAGCCGGCGACTGGCCAATCTTGTCCGAGAGACAAGCCGGCGACTGGCCAATCTTGTCCGAGAGACAAGCCGGCGACTGGCCAATCTTGTCCGAGAGACAAGCCGGCGACTGGCCAATCTTGTCCGAGAGACAAGCCGGCGACTGGCCAATCTTGTCCGAGAGACAAGCCGGCGACTGGCCAATCTTGTCCGAGAGACAAGCCGGCGACTGGCCAATCTTGTCCGAGAGACAAGCCGGCGACTGGCCAATCTTGTCCGAGAGACAAGCCGGCGACTGGCCAATCTTGTCCGAGAGACAAGCCGGCGACTGGCCAATCTTGTCCGAGAGACAAGCCGGCGACTGGCCAATCTTGTCCGAGAGACAAGCCGGCGACTGGCCAATCCTGTCCGAGAGACAAGCCGGCGACTGGCCAATCCTGTCCGAGAGACAAGCCGGCGACTGACCAATCCTGTCCGAGAGACAAGCTGGAAACCACCCAACCCTGTCTGAGAGACAAGCCAGCGACCAGCCAATCTTATGAAGGAGAGAATCGGTCTGGACTATCCTGCTCGGCCTATCCTGAGGACCCTCATTCTGTGAGCAGCGGTGGCACCCTAACCGATAAGTTTCCCTGTCCCGAGTGCAGGAAACTATTTAGTTTTAAATCCAGTCTACACGTGCATAAAAAATCTCATTTGAGCAAGAAGCCGTATTCCTGTCGTGAGTGCGGGAAATGTTTCCTCCGTAAAATAGACCTCAATAAACATGAGAAGATGCACACGGGAGAAAAGTTGTATCCGTGTTCTGAGTGCGGGAAATGTTTTCCATACGAGTCCCATCTTTCCAGACACCAGAGATGTCACACGGGGGAGAAGCCGTATTCCTGCTCTGAGTGCGGGAAATGTTTTCTATATCAGGCGAGTCTCAGTAAACATTGGAGGTCTCACACGGGGGAGAAGCCGTTCTCCTGCTCTGACTGTGGAAAGTCCTTTTCAGACGCCTCCTACCTTTCCTTGCATCAGAAAGCTCACAGGGGGGAGAAGCCGTATTCCTGCACAGAGTGCGGGAAAGGTTATCTGCTGAAATCCCAATATATCAGACATCAGCTCTATCATTCGGGTACAAAACCGTATTCGTGTGCTGAATGTGGGCAGAGTTATCTGGATAAATCAACACTTCTCACACACCAGAGGTCTCACACGGGGGAGAAGCCGTATCCCTGCCCTGAGTGCGGGAAATGTTTTTCAGACAGGACCTATCTTTACAAACATAAGAAATTTCACACGGGGGAGAAGCCGTTTTCCTGTCCTGAGTGCGGGAGAAGTTTTACGCAGAAATTGGAACTTATCAGACATCAGATGACTCACACGGGGGAGAAACCATTTTGCTGTTCTGAGTGCGGGAAATGTTTTTCACGAAAGTCCAATCTTACTGTCCATAAGAGATCCCACTCAACGCAATCTTCTAAATGAATTTACGAGGCGGTATCAAACCGTTTGGAGACTAGTTCTGTAACACCCCAACAGGTGGCAGCAACAGGCTGCAGGCGCAGTCACGGGGAGCACCGACCTTCAAATGTCAGTGTGCCAAAAGACAAGGTCCTGTGTACATCGGGAGCTGTGTAACTGGTGCTATTCTGACCACGTGTGTTACCGCGTCTGCCAATTTCATCATGGGCAGCAAGTCAGAACAAGTAGCTAATGTGAAATTCTGCGTGAAAACCGGGCAAATCTCCACCATGTAGTCAAAACAGCGACCTTCATTTTCGGGAAGAGGGCATTTTTGGGGGTTGAGCTCCTTGAAGGTCTTCCTCATTTTGTCATCTTCCAGTGATGTTCTTTCGCTTTTGAAGCATTCTGTTTGAAACCGGGAAAATCTGCCCCACAGACGTCGGACACGATTCAGAAAATTTACGGCGATGCTGCAGTGAGTCGTTCGAGGTGTTCTGTGCGGCACGCGACCTTCAGGAGCGGAATAACATCTCTGGAAAGATGATGAGAGAGGAGGAAGACCTTCAAGGAGCTCAACCCCCAAAAATGCCCTCTTCCCGAAGATGAAGATCCAGCTCGAAGGTCGCCGTTGTGACAACATGGTGGAAATCCAGCGATTTGCCTGGTTTCACGCAGAATGCCACGTTGGCTCTTTGTTCCAGCTTGCTATCCATGACGAAACTGCTCCCTTGGTAACGCACGTGGTCAGAATAGCACCAGTGGCACAGCTCCTGATGTCTTTTGGTACACTGACGTATGAAGGTCCGTGCTCCCTGTGACTGCACGTGCAGCCTTGTGCTGCCATCTGTTGGCGTGTTACAAAACTAGTCTCAAGACTCGGAGACCGCCTCCTATATTTTGCCGTACATGAGAGATCTCACGTGAGGAAGATGCACGTCAAACACATGGGATGATCTCAAGAACATGAGGAGATCTGCTGAAGGCATCAATGAAGGGTTGTGTCATGTTTGCCATTGATGGAAGGAAAATAAAAATGGAGTCATTACCCGTAGTTGAGTATAATTTGTGTCGTATGCTTCCTCAAACACTTGTTTCCTCCATCAGGTATCTGAGAAATCATACTGGGGAACCCATGGGTGCAATAGAAGAACACGGGGGCAGAGAAAACAGGAAAAGGGCCCTCCAGATAGATAGTCCACACCGAGAGGGCAGGCTCTTCTTCAGTTTTGTCAGGCAATAGAAGTAGCCACCACTGGCAACTCAGATGTCCACCACTAGATAGGCCTTCCTGCTTTCTTCATTTTGGGGAAGGAACCAATGCTATAAACAAAAGAAGAACGCCCAGCAGCCTAGTCCATCACCAAAAGACTTTCATAAATGGATAAGAAGAAGAACGACAACCAGCCAAGTCCATCACTTAAAGACTTTCATAAATGGATAAGAAGAACACCCACCAGCCTAGTCCATCACCAAAAGACTTTCATAAATGGATAAGAAGAATAATGCCCACCAGCCTAGTCCATCACTGAAAGACTGTCAGGGCTCCAGGTATGACCAGAGGTATGTGAACTGATGCAGGGAAATGCAGGCTTCAGATATGTTATAAACAATATAATTTATTAATACTAACAATACATAAACGCAGTGCAATACTAAAACATAACACAGTGCAAAAGAACCAAACCAAACCACCCACAGATAACAATACATACAATGCAAGCGTAGTCAGGCAGGCCGGGTCAATAACAATTGGGCAGATAGGAACAGGAGGAGCAGGCAGAGAGTAGTCAGGTCACGAGCCGGGTACAGCAACTAACGGGCAGGTAGGTACAGGGGGTCAGGCAGAGAATGGTCGGGGTCACAAGCCAGGGATCAAACAGGAGAAGTCAGCAGAGGTCCGGATCAGGCAGGGTCGGCAACAAATTAGTTGAACAGGAACAAGAATGCAGGTAACAAGATACAGGGCTCCATGGAAAAACACACCAAGGCACAGACTGCAGGTCTGGCCATCCCTTAAATACACCTGCAATCAGCCTCAGGTGTTTTGGCTGACTGCAGGGTTGAGTCTCTGATTGCTGAGAGCACCCGCTGGCCAGTCCTGGTACTGCAGCCCACAAGGCAGGTGAGTCCCACCATTACTGGCAAGTCCATTCCTGACAAAGACTTTCATAAATGGATAAGAAGAAGAACGCCAACCAGCCTAGTCCATCACCGAAAGGCTTTCATGAACGAATAAAAAGAAGAATGCCAACTTACTCACAATAGTAAATGGTCAATTAGATGGAAAAATCCAGCAGGCAACCAACGAGCTTGCCCGTTTTGAGGGTGAGACCCTTCTCAGCGTGTCCCAGGAAGATCCTATCCCACCGATCCTGTCATGGTGAATGACATCCAAGCTTCAATGCTGTTCTCCACAGTGGATGCTGATACCTAGCAACCAATGACTTCTCCCCAGCCCTAGTCACGATTCTGGCTGACATCAATGACCAAATAATGGCTTCATGACTATCTTTATCCATTTGAGGTCAGGCTTCATTCCCATCGAGGTGGTTAACAATCATCGAAATGGGCGCAGAGAAGTATCATAGGTTGGTAGGATGTCGGGACATATTGGCCTCTTGGCAACCAAAAGCCTGAGCAGGAAGCTGTCATAGAAGAGGCCATGGAGGAGACACAGAGCACCAGTGGAGTCTTGGAGGAGCAGGATACTTGGTGGCTCTGAAGTAATAGGACTCAATGAGCCCACATGTTTGGCAAAGGTTAGGACCCTCAGAAGGACAAAGGCACAGAGGTCTACAGAGTCACCAGGATTTCACCAGAGCACCACACAAGGGATGATGGGTTTTGCTGCTGGCAGCTTGAAGGTTGCAGGCCTCTGACCTGAGCAAGCATCTATTGGAGGCTGAGCACAGAAATGCAGGAAAGAGTCTCGCAGTAGAAGGATCCTGGGAACATAGGTCAGAAATACACTATATTGCCCAAAGTATTGCCCTCCATATCATGTGATTCCGGTGTTCCAATCCCCTCCCAATCATCTGATTCAGTTGTTCTAATCCCCTCCCAATCATGTGATTCAGGTGTTCCAATCTCCTCAATATCATGTGATTCGGGTGCTCCAACCCCTCCCAATAATGTGATTCAGGTGTTCCAATCCCCTCCCAATCGTGATTCAGGTGCTCCAACCCCCTCCATATCATGTGATTCAGGTGTTCCAATCCCCTCCATGGACACAGGTGTATACAATCAAGCCCCTAGGCATGCAGACTGCTTCTACAAGCATTGGTAAAAGAATGGGTTGCTCTCAGGAGCACAGTGACTCCAAGCGTGGTCCCGTGATAGGTGGCCACCTGTGCAATAAGTCCATCCATGACATTTCCTGGCTACTAAATATTCCACGCTCAACTGTTAGTGGGATTATAACAAAGTGGAAGCAACTGGGAACAACAGCCACTCAGCCACCAACTGGTAGGCCACATCACATGACAGAGCTGGGTCAGTGCATGCTGAAGCGCACAGTGCGCAGAAGTCGCCAACTGTTTGCAGAGTCAATAGCTTAAGACCTCCAAACTTGGTGTGGCCTTCAGATGAGCCCAACAACAGTGTGTAGAGAGCTTCATGGAATGGGTTTCTATGGCCGAGGAGCTGCATCCAAGTCTTCCATCACCAAGTGCAATGCAAAGCGTCGGATGCTGTGGTGTAAAGCACGCGACTCTGGACTCTAGAGCAGAGGAGACTTGTTCTCTGGAGTGACCTATCACACTTCTCTGTCTGGCAATCTGATGGATGTGTCTGGGTTTGGCAGTTGCCAGGAGAATGGTACTTGCCTGACTGCATTGTGCCAAGTGTAAAGTTTGGTGGAGGGGGGATTATGGTGTGGGGGTTGTTTTTCAGGGGTTGGACATGGCCCCCTAGTTGTAGTGAAGGGAACTCTTAAGGAGACATTTTGGACAATTTCATGCCCCCAACTTTGTGGGAAAAGTTTGGGGATGCCCCTTCCTGTTCCAACATGACTGCCCACCAGTGCCCAAAGCAAGGTCCATAAAGACATGGAGGAGCCAGTTTGGGGTGGAGGAACTTGACTGGCCTTCCCATAGACACCCTCCTAAACCTTGTGGACGGCCTTCCCAGAAGAGTTGAAGCTGTTATAGCTGCAAAGGGAGGGTCCAACTCAATATTGAACCCTACGGACTAAGACTGGGAGGCCATTAAAGGTCATGTGCGTGGAAAGGGCGGGGCCAACTTAATACTGAACCCTACGGACTAAGACTAGGGGGCCATTAGAGGTCATGTGCGTGGAAAGGGTGGGGCCAACTCAATATTGAACCCTACAGACTAAGACTGGGGGGGCCATTAAAGGTCATGTGTCTGGGAAGGCCGGCCAACCAATACTGTGGGCAATATGGTGTAAGTAACAGTCTATGGTTGGCAGGCATGCCAAAGGCAACAGAACACAGAGTAGAGAGTCCTGGAGCTGGATGTAGGCTGGGGTGCATAGGGACACTGGAGCAGGGTACAGGTTAGGGTATACGGGATCATGTGAACAGGATATAGGCTAGAAAACACTGGGGACACCAGCACAGGATAAAGGCTCTACACTGGGGATACCAGCAGAGGATATAGGCTCTACATGGGTCACCAGCACAGGATGTAGGCTCTACATGGGTCACCAGCACAGGATATAGGCTCTACACTGGGGACACCAGCACAGGATATAGGCTCTACACTGGGACACCAGCACAGGATATAGGCTCTACACGGGTCACCAGCACAGGATATACACTGGAATCTACACTGGGGTCACCAGCGCAGGATCTAGGCTCTACACTGGGGACACCAGCACAGGATCTAGGCTCAACACTGGGGTAACTGGAGCTGGATACAGGCTGGAGTATTGGTCCTCTATAGAAGGAGGTCAGCCCAATGGTCACAACACTACAGGTCTCCATATGGACTCATCTCGAAGTGAATTCTAATGGTGGGTTGCATTGCATATGGATGAGTCCCATGAAGAACGAAGCAGAAATGTGACTCCAGCCTTATATGTCATGAGTGCCCGTTCTATAGGTTCTCACTGATCCTTGTAGTTCCATTGACGTCTACTGGCACCTCCATGCACCACAGCAATGCACCTGGTCTGAGGGGCACTACAGCCCCTGGCAGTGCACTACTATACCTTGTGGTGCGCCACATTGCCGAAAAAGCCAGAAAACCAATTTTCATACTGTTGCAGCGTAGTGGTAGCATGTATTGACCTTCTCAATGCAACAAGTTGACCTGATCATTGAACCCAAAGCTGTGGATGGGCTCTACAGGAGCTCCACCTCTACAGGCGAGACAGTTCTCAGGGCTCCTCTGAGCTCCACAAGGTGGGGATCTCACTGCTACCCAGACAGGAAGTATCTATGGTAGACAGGAAGTGATGTCAGGGACAGATAGGAAGTGATGTCAGGTATAAATGGGAAGTTCCAGGCGAGAGGTGAGTCGGGAGGAAGTAGAGAGGAGACATTGCTGGAAGTGGCAGCAGAGGAGGTAATAAGATCTGATTTTATATTTACACCCAGTAACCCCCTGTCATGTCTGTCCTGTCCCTCCACCGTCCACCGTCACGTCCGTCCTCTCCCTTTATGTCCGTCCTCTCCACCATCGCGTCCGTCCTCTCCCTCCACCGTCGCGTCCGTCCTCTCCCTCCACCGTCGCGTCCGTCCTCTTCCTCCACCGTCACGTCCGTCCTGTTCCTCCATCATCATGCTCTTCCTCCACCGTCACGTCCGTCCTGTTCCTCCATCATCATGCTCTTCCTCCACCGTCACGTCCGTCCTGTTCCTCCCATCATCATGCTCTTCCTCCACTGTCACGTCCATCCTGTTCCTCCATCATCATGCTCTTCCTCCACCGTCACGTCCGTCCTCTTCCCCCAACGTCACGTCCGTCCTCTTCCCCCACCGTCACGTCCGTCCTCTTCCCCCACCGTCACGTCCGTCCTCTTCCTCCACCGTCGCGTCCGTCCTCTTCCTATGATATGAAATATCAATAATAATACTTTGAGTTGAGTTCTGGAACCCACAACTGGAGAAGGGATCTCGGTGATGGGATTGCGGGATGGAAGTTACAAGAATGGCAGTTGGTGAACATTAACACTTCATGTATTACAGCACTGTGAACAGAATTCCATCTACAGAAAGTTGTGTCTTGTATAGATCACATGACCAATGATGGAGGAGGACCGGAGTCACATGACTGAGAAGATACTAAGCCTCACCCTGGAGATCATCTACCTGCTGACCGGAGAGGTGAGGAGGATTCTGGGAGGTCACATGACATCACACAGACCTGACCGGAGAGGTGAGGAGGATTCTGGGAGGTCACATGACATCACTCTCATCTCTATTAATAAAACACAAACCTGACCGGAGAGGTGCGGAGGATTCTGGGAGGTCACATGACATCACAAAGACCTGACCGGAGAGGTGAGGGGGATTCTGGGAGGTCACATGACATCAAACAGACCTGACCGGAGAGGTGAGGAGGATTCTGGGAGGTCACATGACATCACTCTGGTCTAGTCTGGCCAATAGACCATGTTCTTCTTGTAGACATATAGATGATGTCAGATGATTGATATCAGTTTCTCTTTCTCCTGATCTGTAGGATTATGTTGTAGTGAAGAAGTCTAGTGGGGAGCCAATCTCAGGAGGATGGAGCAGGACCCAGAGCCCCACCATGGTGCCTCCCCCTCGTTCTCCGATACCTGACAGGAACAAAGAGCAGAAGATCCTGGAACTGACCACCATGATGGTCCATCTGATGACAGGAGAGGTGAGCGGTGGCGGGAATTCTGGGACATTCTCCAGTAACAGACAAGGGATGTGTCTGGATGGTGACTGTATCATTGTGTGTGTCAGGGTGTCACTGTCTATTTCTCTCTGTAGGACCATGGTGTGATGAAGAAGGTTTCTGAAGGACACAAGAATCTCTACAAAGACGTCATGATGGAGGACCACCAAAAAGGACACAAGGACATCAAGATGGACAATCAGCCGCCCCTCACATCACCGGGTAAGAGGAGACTTTATTGGAATGGAGAGAGCAGTACGGAGGCTCCACCTAGATCCCCCATCATCTGATAAACACACTGAAACAATGGATTCAGTCAGTGTGTGTGTTTCCTACAGATGGATCCAGTCATGGGAACCCACCAAAGAGATGTCACGGGGATGATAATATTGATGTTAAAGAAGAGTATACAGAGGAGGATGAGGAGTATGGAGTGATGGAGGAGTTTTCAGAGGAACAGAAGAATATCATGGAGCCACCTAATACCAGGAACCCACCAGAGAGATGTCCCTGTCCTCTGTATTCCCAGGATTCCACACAGGAGGATCACAGCTACACTCAGCATGCTCAGGTACATCATGAACAATTATTGGTACTTGTAGTTTCTTCACAGCTTGTTTGTTACAATGAATGTTTTATTATATATTTAGGGTGAAAACCTTGAGAATTATAACATTGTTGTTAAAGAAGAGTATAAAGAGGAGGATGAGGAGTATGGAGTGATGGAGGAGTTCTCAGAAGGACACAAGGATATGATGGAGCTACCTAATACCAGGAACCCACCAGAGAGATGTCCCCGTCCTCTGTATTCCCGGGATTCCACACAGGAAGGTCACACCATCCCTCACCATCATCAGGTAGATGGTTCCAGTCATGGGAACCCACCAGAGAGATGTCCCCGTCCTCTGTATTCCCGGGATTCCACACAGGAAGATCAGTGTTATGAGGTAGATTGACTCAACAAATCCTAAACCATCACAGAAACACACCGTAGTTATATTGTATAAGTTGTAAAGACATTTGCATTTTTATATTTTTCAGGATGAAGAGCATGTTTCTAGAATAGAAGAAAACGAGGACAATAATCAAAGGTTGTTACTGAACAACCCAACTTATAAAGAGGAGGAAATTCTTCCAGAGGTTAGCGCAGGTGAGAACCAATTACACCATATGAAAGGTCCATCTCCATTCCCCAATATAATGTCATGTTCCCAACAAATGAGGAGGAGATACTGGACACCATATGGAAGGTCCATCTCCATTCCTCAATATAACGTCACGTTCCCAACCAATGAGGAGGAGATACTGGACACCATATGGAAGGTCCATCTCCATTCCTCAATATAACGTCATGTCCCCAACAAATGAGGAGGAGATACTGGACACCATATGAAAGGTCCATCTCCATTCCTCAATATAACGTCATGTTCCCAACAAATGAGGAGGAGATACTGGACACCATATGAAAGGTCCATCTCCATTCCTCAATATAATGTCAGGTTCCCAACAAATAAGGAGGTGATACTGGACACCATATGAAAGGTCCATCTCCATTCCTCAATATAACGTCACGTTCAAAACAAACGGGGAGGAGATACTGGACACCATATGGAAGGTCCATCTCCATTCCTCAGATCTATGGTACATCAGTGACTTCTAGACCGACATCCACAATGACTGCAGAACATGAACGATGGAAATACGTTTGATGCTGATACATTGATTCTTCCTAACAGATGGCTGTGATGTTGGGAATTCCTCAGAGGTGCCCCAGATTCCATCTGCAGATCTTGGTGGAGGAAATAATGGAATCCCAACAGATCCTCAGAAGGAAAGCCCCTATTTTTGCTTGAAGTGCGGTCAAAGTTTTAAATGGAAAACTAGCTTGGAAAGACATATGAGAGTTCACACCGGTGAGACTTTTCAATGTGAAGAGTGCGGAAAATGTTTCAGGCAGAAAGACAGACTCACGGCACACCTGAGAATCCACACCGGAGAAAAGTTGCACATTTGTACAGAGTGCGGGAAATGTTTTGTGTGGAAAGATTCACTCATCAGACACCTGAGAATCCACACAGGGGAGAAGCCGTACTCCTGCCCAGACTGCGACAAACGCTTCACTCAGAAAAGTAATCTTTGGAGCCATCAGAAAGTCCACATAGAAAAGACTTCCTTGACGTTTTTAGAGTGCGGGAAATCTTGTGATAATAAATCGGAACTTTCTATACATCAGCTAGCCCAAGCCGAGAAGATGTTGTCATGCTCGGAGTGCGGGAAATTGTGTGTAAGTAAATCTGAACTTACCATCCACCAGAGAAGTCATACCGGTGAGATGCCCTTTTCATGCCCAGAGTGCGGGAAGTGTTTCTCACGGCAGGGAAGCTTAACCAGTCACATGAAATTGCACACGGGCGACAAGCCGTTCTCCTGTCCGGAGTGTGGGAAAGCCTTTAGTCGGAAAAGTGAACTCGCTATACACCTGAACGGTCACACAGGCCAGCATCGTTTTTCGTGTTCAGAGTGTGGGAAAGGTTTCTCCCATAAAGAAAGATTTCGTAGACACCAGAGGACCCATACGGGTGAGCGACCCTACACCTGTTCAGAGTGCGGAAAAGGTTACCAACAGAATTCGCACCTTCTCGAACACCTTAGAAGGCACGCAGGAGCGTGCCCTTTTCCCTGCCCACTGTGCGGGAAATGTTTTCCACTGAAATCTGCTCTTGATAAACACCAGAGCAGGCACACTGGGCTGCATCCTGATTCATATGAATCTTATATTGATCAGGGAAGCCTCCGTAGACGCCGGAAAAGTCACACGGGTCAGCGTCCCCTTTCCTGACCAATGTGTGGAAATGTTTGATAAATGAGGCCTGAGTGAGCGTGCTTTTACCATAGTTCCACCTTAGAAGCCACGCAGGTGACCCCCCTTCCCCCCCTTCAGAGAGGATGACCCCAGCAGCCCTGAGACTTCAACTAGTTATTCGTCATGAAGGGAGATACTTGTCCAATGAGCTCACTGGCTCCTCCTAGGCTGCTCACATAACATGCGGGGCCCCACCAACGGGCCCCCGGGACGTGACTCTCACCCTGACAATACAACAGGAACTCCAAGCCAAAAGACAAAGAGCCTTAAATGCTTCACTGGATCCTCGGCGACGTCACATTACACGCAATGTGTTTCGGGGGCCAAGAGCTCCTCCTCCATCAGGGCGTAAGGACTGAGGAACCCTCCGGGACACGTCGGGGAAATGCTTCGTCCTCCCATGTCTATGGACCTCGTCGTGTCTGGAGCCACTTTCCACACGCATGATCAGATCTGTACCGTGAGCCAGAAAAGGAACCCCCCCCCCCACACAGTACATGTCCTGAATGAAAGAAGGCGGCCTGTACAACCGACTGTCCTACAACTGTGACTTCTACAACAAATGTTAGTTCACAACTACAATAAATTCCTGATCTGTATATAAAAGATGGGTTTGTGTCCAGTCTTGGGCCTCCTGCCTTTCCACGCACATGACCTTTAATGGTCTCCCAGTCTTAGTCCGTAGGGTTCAATATTGAGTTGGCCCCCGCCCTTTCCACACACATGACCTTTAATGGCCTCCCAGTCTTAGTCCATAGGGTTCAATATTGAGTTGGCCCCGCCCTTTGCAGCTATAACAGCTTCAACTCTTCTGGGAAGGCCATCCACAAGGTTTAGGAGGGTGTCTATGGGAAGGTTGGACCATTCTTCCAAAAGCACATTTATCAGGTCAGGCATTGATGTCGAGGGAGGAGGCCTGGCTCGCAGTCTCTGCTCTAATTCATCCCAAAGGTGTTCTATGGGGTTGAGGGCAGGCCAGTCAAGTTCCTCCACTACAAACTGGCTCCTCCATGTCTTTATGGACCTTGCTTTGTGCACTGGTGTGCAGTCATGTTGGAACAGGAAGGGGCCATCCCCAAACTCCTCCCACAAAGTTGGGAGCATAAAATTGTCCAAAATGTCGCCTTAGGAGTTCCCTTCACCTTAACTAGGGGGCCAAGCCCAACCCCTGAAACACACCCCCACACCATAATATCCCCCCCACCAAACTTTACACTTGGCACAATGCAGTCAGGCAAGTACCGTTCTCCTGGCAACCGCCAAACCCAGACATGTCTATCGGATGGCCAGACAAAGAAGCGTGATTGGTCACTCCAGAGAACACGTCTCCTCTGCTCTAGAGTCTAGTGTCGGCGTGCTTTACAGCACGGCATCCGACGCTTTGCATTGCACTTGGTGATGGAAGGCTTGGATCCAGCTGATCGGCCATGGAAACCCATTCCATGAAGCTCTCTACGCACTGTTGTTGGGCTCATCTGAAGGCCACACCAAGTTCGGAGGTCTTTAGCTATTGACTCTACAGACAGTTGGCGACTTCTGCGCACTGTGCGCTTCAGCATGCGCTGACCCCGCTCTGTCATGTGACGTGGCCTACCACTTGGTGGTTAAGTAGCTGTTGTTCCCAGTTGCTTCCACTTTGTTAAAATCCCACTAACAGTTGAGCGTGGAATATTTAGTAGCCAGGAAATGTCACGGATGGACTTATTGCCCAGATGGCCACCTATCACAGGATGCCACCACGCTGGATGCCTTTCAGTATCTTCAGGCCAGGACTTTTAAGTTGTGAGCAGCAATTTGCAGTTATGGGCCTTCAGGCCAGCACAGGACAACGCTGGACTCCTCTTCCTGCCGAGTTCGGAGTAGTCACTACAGGGTTAGGCAAGCCAGATGGACAGCTACCCCTCTGCACCCCCCACCTACAGCGCACCTATGCACCCCCTATCCACAGTTCACCTCTGCACCCCCCACCTACAACTAACCTATGCACCACTCACCTACAGCTCACCTCTGTACCCCTGAACCACAGTTCACCTCCGCACCCCCGATCCACGGTTCACCTCTGCACCCTCCACCTACAGCTCACCTCTGCACCCCCAACCTACAGCTCACCTCTGCACACCCCCCCCACCTACAGCTCCCCTCTGCACACCCCACATACAGCTAACCTATGCACCATTCACCTACAGCTCACCTCTGTACCCCCGATCCACAGTTCACCTCTGCTGCCCCGATCCACAGTTCACCTCTGCACCCCCACCTACAGCTCACCTCTGCATCCCCCACCTACAGCTCACCTCTGCACACCCCACTTACAGCTCACCTCTGCACCCCTCACAGTTCACCTCTGTACCCCTCACCTACAGCTCACCTCTGCACATCCCACCTACAGCTCACCTATGCACCCTCAATCCACGGCTCACCTCTGCACCCCCCACCTACAGCTCAGTTATTCCTGTGACGGGTGCAGCATCAGACCCCAGCCCTTCTCACCTCTGCACATCCCACCTACAGCTCACCTATGCACCCTCAATCCACAGCTCACCTCTGCACCCCCCACCTACAGCTCAGTTATTCCTGTGACGGGTGCAGCATCAGACCCCAGCCCTTCTCACCAACTTGTGACCGAAGGACTAGCCAATCTAAAACCGCGATGTCATGTGCGTAACAATGCCACGCCCAGCTGCACCCTGCACAAAGATTTTCCAGCTAATGGACCACAATCTATGTACCTGCAGCCTGAGAGCGATTGTTACTGGGTCAGGTTAATTACGCAATTAACCCTTCACACTGCCACTACCTCCTTTTTGTACAGAGAAAGAGGAAACTTGCCAATATTAGCAGTAACACTATGATGTTTGAATAAGCGTCTGTATACCGCTGTCACCGCAGACAGATGTACGCAGAGGGTTAATACAAACAGTAGCGCTCTTCAGAGACAGGGATTCTTAGTTTGCATTAAAGAGCTTTAGAAACAGTTTTGCACTTTTCAGATAATAGGATTTA